CTGGCACATGCAAGGTCAATCGCAAACCTCCCGGACAACCTTGGAGCTTCTCCTTCGCCAGGTGGGGGTACAGGGGTGGGGGGGTGGGGGGAGTGTCCTGCTGGGCACACGGAGGCCAGCCACACCACAGTCACTTCTCTTGCATTTCTGAATTTGAATTTTAGCAGCCTGGTATACATCCTATCCATGTCCAAATAAATAAAATGTATGGAGACATAAGCTAAAGCTCACACACATAATTTGAAGGCTGTGATTTTCATTACGTTGGACAAAACGAATAAACATCATCTTCCAATCCCGATAACTGTTAGATTATGATTAGAATGGGTTCATGAAATCATTATACAGGAACATAGTAGACCATAAATGATGGGGGGGGGACCATTAATGGACAGTTCACTTTTATCTAAGAACTTTATTAATAAATCAGCTCCCCGGGCTTACTGGGACCATGGTTTTATTTGAGGCAGTACATTCTAATCAGGGATTTTTTTTTTTAATTTTCCTTTTATGACCTAATGATGCATTTAATTTTTAATTAAATTTAATTTTAAAGTATAGAGTATGTATAAAAGCCAAAGCAAGTATGCAGCATCTGTTCATTGCATCTGCACTCACTACTACAAAAATTAACCTTAATCTAAAGAGGCACAAATGGGTTTTTAAGCCATCAGGAGGCCCGAGTATTTAAAAATCAATGACTGTCCACCCAGGCAAAGAACAGCTGTTTCCTAATATTCCAGCCCCACACTGAGCCTAGCCTCAACCCCCAAAGACAAGCCTCAAAGTGCCCACACACTCACTTTCCCAGTTGAAAGTGTCAGAGAATGGCTCTATCTAGAAGCCATGAAGTGGGTTAAGTGGAAACCAGATGGAGCGGACCTGGCCCAAGCAGATGGCATGTTTGGAGGCAGCTTCTCTCACCATCACTTACTGCTTTCCTAAAATCATCACCAACCTTCCTTCCTGGGCCCAGAAATCGACCTAATGAAAAAGTCTACCCACTGTGTTAAAAGGCCAACGAATGCTCAGCGTGGACTGATTCCCAAGACTCTAGAACAGGAAGCTCCCCTCCCTGGAACTGGGAAAGAACACTGCATAGTTGGGCAGGGATAACATCACACGTCCCCAAGGCACGTGCCTTTGCCTTCCTGAGTGACGTGATGTCACGACATGATGGAGAGAGAAAGCAAGCGTGTGCAAAGCCAAGGAAGAAAGCAGATACGGGGGTTGGCTATGGTTTTCCTTGGCACCCTGGGATTTTCTAGAAGTTCTTCTGGGGATGACTTTAAACACAGAATTCCACAGGAGAGGGCAAAGGGGCAAAAAGTCTCAGAAATCACAGAGGAAAAGTCAGACCCGGGCGCTGTGCGACATCTAGAATGTTCTCTCGCCTCCCAATTTTCCCACCTACAAAGACAAAATCAGACAATATCATCACATGAACACGAAGAACTCACATGGCACCACCTCTATAAAGGTTTCCTGAGTCATCTTAAGAACTAAATTTTAAAAGCCATGGATTGGGATAAATCACTAGGTGACATAAAAAAGCTTTTAGGTGGCCTTCACAATTGAGTGGCAGCAAGATACGTCTCCCATCACAGAGGCACTCGGACTCTCCTGTCCGCCTGTAGGCTCAGCCTTTGAACAACACCCCAGCAGATCTGCCAAATGAGGCCAGCATCTTGCCCCAGGGTCCCCATGATTGGGGGGTGTCCCCCCATGGGGGCCAATAAGCCTGGGACCACAGGACTTGAGTGGTGGCAGCTCTGGCTGGTCAGAGTTAAATCCAACAATTCAAGGGAGCGTACAGGCTGAGAAACCATGGGAAGCACCCCCTCATGACTGCAGAGACCCACCCCTCTCCTGACTGCTTCCGAGCCTGCCCTTCTGGGGGACTCCCGGCCATGGGGACCTGCTGGGCCCCGCGGACCCCAGGGTCCCACCTGGATCCAGCCATCTGGGCCCTGGAAGGTTCCACGGCCCCCAGCCTGAATGGAGACTGTCTCCAGAAGCGTCTTGACTGTGTTTCAAGCATCAGGGCTTATTAAAACCCCGAAGGGAAGTAATCCCTGAATGCCACTAAAAGGTCTCCAGCTGCTACCGTTTATGAACGAGGCTTGACAAGACATTGGCGGGGGGTTGAGCAGGAAGGACGGGGAGAGAAGAATTTAGACAAGGCCAAGTTATCCAAACAGAGCCCCCATCAAAAAGAGAGTCATGTTTTATCAGCTTAAGCTTTCCTGCCTCCCTTCCCAAAGGTATTTCCCCTCCTCAACTCTCATTAACTCTTCTTTAGAGCTGTCTGCTTTCTTTAAAAAACAATAATAAAGGCAGCACATGGCTAGAGAAAGTCCCTAAATGTGTGAAAATTAGAAAGAAGAGCCAGATGAATTACCTGGAAACAGGGCTGAATATGCCTTCCGTAAAAAATCTGGAAGGAAAATGGTTTTTTCATGGAAAAGAATTAGAGTGGTTCTCAGTATCTTTCTCTGCCTTCTTCATTCTTTTGAAAAGGTCTTTTCATCTCATTAAGTTAAGCTGATTAATAAAAATTCCGCAGTTTGCCCACGGATCCTTTAGAAGTGGTGATACAAGCTGAAAGATGCAGGCGGAAGGTTTTTGTGCTGGAGACAACAAGGGGATGACTTCTTAAATCCGTCGTTGTCATCCTCCATCAGAGAGAAATGGTCTCCTTGGCTCAGAGTCACCAAACATCATACTGCAACTTGTTAGCTCCTAGTAACCTTCCCAAAAAGGTTAGTGCTGACTTATAAATAAAAAGAGACAAAAAGAAACATTTAGAAGGAAAGTAGGAAAACATTTTGCTTCATTTCAAAAATTATTAATACAAATTAATGAAGAAAACGTGGCCTGTAGGAGAAGGTTCATTCAAGGGAAAAAGCAATGTTCTCTAAACAAAGTTCTTATGTAAACACAAACTTGTGCTTTTTGCTATAAAGCAAAACAAGTGGATAAGTTCAGTTTTTTATTCATGAGTAACTGCTAACTTTGTTACCCAAAAATAACTTAATTACCTAGACAGTACCTAACACACAATAGATGCTCAAGAGTTAAAAATGAATTTCCTCAACAATTTTTTTTAAAACTGTGATTTACTTTTAAAAATGAAAAAAAGTCAGATTATATAACGCCATGACTTGCAAATGTTTTCAACTGTTCCAGTGTGAGTTAAATTCATCCAGAAAAAAAAAAAAATTGTTCTCTCCAGGTAAACATGGAAGATTCAGTTATATAAAGAAAGGCACACTCACTTGCCCACACATTCCCTGTGGCCCGAAGCCTGTCACCTGCTCTGCCATCATCAATCCATCTCCTCAAATACCTAAGAGGCTGAGGCCAAACAATGAGGCTGAGAAAAACAATGAGTAAGGATCTGTTTACATTCCCACTGTGAAGGGTAATCATGGGGTAGCTGTGACTGATAATTATCAAGCTCAATAGCTGTTAACACGTGGCTCCGTCTCCATGAAATGAAAGATGAGCAGGAGTCTAAGCAGGTGCCATGCGCTTAATGTGAGCATCATTAATGCTCACATCTGAGACATTCCACAAAGCACCTACTATGTGACAAGCTCTACGCCAACTACAGTAAACACAAAGATTAAACAAGATGTGACTGACGCCAAGGCGATTACAGTGAATCTGGCGTAATTAATGTCTTCAGTGAGGTTAGCCAGTCACTACCGAGGGACGCGCAAGGGCAAGGAGGGGAAGGCGCCAGGTAAGCGTGGGGTGCAGTTGCTCCTGTCACAAATCCACTTGAGTTCCTGGGTCTCCCCGCAAACGAGGAGACAGAGAGTTACATTTACTCCTGTTGTCTGTGTCATTTTTGAAAGCTGGAGCTGTGAAAACTATGAGAAAGTTAAAAAGACTGTTTCTGAAAAAATAGAGTATTTTCCTGGGGGTGTGGGGGTGGGTCTAGGGACCCTGTTTTTACCAGTGGTGCTGCCATTGAATGCAGTTCTTAAGATGGAATAGGCTTGATTCCACATAAATGGGAAAAGATCTTATTGGAAAATCTTTATCGTGTAGGATTTTTGTGTGTGTAAAGTATACACATTCAAGATCAGTTCCCCAAGTTCCTTCAAACACAATAATTTTACTATGGAATAGGGAATTTTGAATATTATCATCAACACAGGGTAGACTGCTAATGAGCTGGTTTAAGTAAAATATCATGTAAGTGATACCTATGCCCTCCAATACAAATTCATGACTTTTTTAAAAAAACTAGCATCTGTGTCATGATGTCACTTTGATAACAATATAAAACAAAAGGCCAATGCCATAATCGATGGAATAATTTGCAGATAAAATGAAGTTTATGTGTGGATTTAAATAAAATTGTTTTTTGTGCATATTAACTAGAATCAATGTATTTCTATCTTATGCAATTCTGGAAACTTATGAGCCACTCAAACCACTCAGTCTAAATACACAGCTACTATATCTACACTTTATTCAGCCTCTCACAATTTCATCATGGGTACAGGTGTCTATAAGAGATTAATAATTACTCAATATTTGTAAAAATCATAATTTAAAATCATAGTTTCATAATCAGCATTGTTATTACAACAAGTTATTATTTTAAGAAGATCTTTTAAACATAACTATATTGTTAACTAGAAACAAAAATCAGCAAAATAAACTAACTTTAACACTCATTCTGATAACCAACAATAAAAGGTTACAAAATTACAAGCTAAGGGGGAAAAAAGAAAAAAACCAAACAGATTCTAAAAGTTAAACTTGGATTTTCAAATTTAGTCAGACTGCTTTTATTAGATAGCAAGGAAATGAACAATGTTAAGTCCATGTCCACCAAATCACTAAAGGCAGAAACACACTGGCAAATACATACCCACTGAGGGTAATGGCTGGTGCTCACAATCAACCTCCTTGAAAGAACAAGGCCTGGCCTTTATGAGGACACACCTTCGTGCTCCATGACTGTGACCAGTCCCCTGAAAACCACCCTGCCCCAGGAAGTGGGGTGAAGCCAGTCCAGTCTACCCATGGAACTGATGAGGAATGATCTGACTAGCCACTACTAACAAAACCGACCCTGAGGTTTTATATGGCCCACCCGATGGATGAGATGATGTCTCCTCTGCAAGCAGGTCTAATAAAAGGAAGGCATAAAACAGGTAGGTTAGGTCATAATTACTCCTTATAGTTGATATTCCTATCTATACATTTACCATCATCTTGATGCAAATGCATAACTCACTTAAAATTTTAGCTTTTTATCTGGTTGAATCGTTCTTCCTTGTACAGTGAACTGGCATCTTGGAATTTATTTTAAAGATTCAGGATGTCTTGTCCACTTCAGTTTTCGCTGATTACTAAAGTAATGTTTGAGATATTCTCTTCATTTTATAAAGTCTACCACGACCTTATTTATATTTTACTAATAATGTAAAAATAAGTATGCAAAATTAGATGTGATACAGCAAAAAAATAGCTCAGAAGACTATGGAGCCAAAAAAAAAACTGTAGAGTCATATTTATATAGCTTATGATACAGATTTAAATAGACAATCATATGCTCTGTTCCGATATTTACACATTAACCCAATTTTCTGAAGTCTCCCCTCTTCTACTCCATATCTCCTCCCAACAGATAGCAAAAGAAAACCAAACAGTTCAGTAAATCAGCTTGTGATTTAGATTTTACAGATGTGAACTGAAGAATATATATGTTTTTAATTCCAGGCACCTCTTTTTCTTTTGAAACACTTCTTAAAAACTCTTCTTATTTTTTAGAACCAAACTAAACTCAGAATTTAATCTGATACATTTCTGCCAGAGTCTCCCTGTGTCAAATCTCAGGCTTGGATTCATTATCTTGGATGCGGGTGGCTTGGCTTGTTTTGGTATAAAACATGTACCCAAATCTCTGAAATTGTACATTATTTTTCTTACCAATTAACTATAATTTCAGGATAGTTTTCCAGATAAATCCTTCAAATCATGTTTAGAAGTCACACAGAAAAAAAATTTTTTTTAAGTTTGAAAGTTAAAAAAAAAAAATCTGTGTGTTTTCTTCAAAAGTTTAGACATGTTGTAGAAACATACGCATTAGTTTCTCTGCACTGTCAAGGGTGGGAGGAATACAGTATACGTTTTAACCAAGGAAGTTAAAGAGACCGAAAGATTCATGAAGTTGACAAGGTTCTCCCAGAGGACAACAATCCTCTCCTTTCACAGAGGAGGAAACTGGACTTGCCCAAGGTTAAGCGACTTGCCCAAGGTCAAAGTCAAGTAGTTGTGAAAGCACTGACTCTCTCGGATCTTCTGAGTCAGATGCTCTAGCACAGGCGATCAACGTGTTCAATCACCTCGTGGTCAGGATGAAAGCGTCCTGGAGCACTTGGTGATTTGCTGAAGGTCAAACATGTGGTTGGGAGAAAAAAAAAGTGACATCCCCATCACCAGACTCCAGGCCTTATTTCTTTTTTCAGACATTTTATCTTTCAAACTGACAAAATTAGAAAGGAGAATTTCCGCAAAATTAACACATGAGTTCAGTTAGGTTACCAAAACATTTGGCGGTAGGCAGGCAAGAAAATGAAATGAAGACAGAAACTGTGGGCAGACCATTCATCTCATAGGTTAATATTCAAATGAGTAATTCTCTAAATTAATAATAATAATAACCAGATTTCACAGAGGGGATACTTTGCAGCAGGTATTTTACATGCATTTGCTTTCTCTCTTAATCATCACAAATTATACATACTCTCTATTTTACACACATGAAACTGAGAGTTAAAGAATCAGCATTTGAACCCAGATCACCCTAACCTCAAAGACAGTCAGTGCTGTCTCCTTAATATATCTCTGTACCATTGTGAGATTTTTTTTTTTTGTACATAATAATGAAAATAGAGAAATGCAAAAGTATTTATTAGTAGCTAGCATTTACAAATCGCATACTCTGTGCCAGGCATTGTTCTAATGCAACATGTCATTTAATCATCACAATAAGTCTTATCAGATAAATAGATTTATTATTCTCATTTACAGTGAGGTAGGTGAAGCAGGGAAAAGTTAAGCAACTTGCCCAGACCCATAGGACCTAGTAAGTTGAGAAGCTGAGAATTATACCCAGGAAGTGCCTTAGATTTTTAACCATCCCAGGCCAGTTCTTGTATGTAGTGTTTCCACACAGAAACCACAATCCCTGATGTCAAGCGTCTTATCATTCAGGGAACAGAACACAAACAAAGATGTAGATAGTATACACAAACTCAGGATTATCCACATATCAATATCATCATATACACTACAGTAGAAGGGGTAAGAACTTCCACCGCAAAGGCACAAAGGTTCTGCCTGGGCAGTGAATCACCCCATGTGTCCAGGCACATATTTCAGCTGACAGACCTGGGTTAGCCTGCAAAGCAGATGTCCACAATGGATAAGGTGCGAAAACTCTTTCTTCCTTCCCATGCTGTCTCTCCAGAGAGTAGCAGGGAACCTGAGCCACCCACATCCTATCAGGGGACTTTTGTCTTTGAAACTAATCAGGAATAATTTACTGGCTGTTAAGCCATCGGACAAAAAACTCCCCTGATGAAAGGAAGCAAGGAAAAGGGGAGAGAGATGGGAATGTGGAGTGGGGTTTGGGACGCAGAGGAACTTAGAGTCAATTCAAGCATTCATATGCTGTTCCCAGTAACTTTAAAAACACGTGCTTCTTGATCAGAACGTATTAACTGTGAAGGAGGCAGAAGCTGTTTTTTTTTTTTTAATTTTTAAGTGAATTCATAGTTATTATATAAACCAAAGCTGACTGAAAGTACAGGAATTTAGATGAAATGTAGGTGAACTTTTCCTGACAATATGATTATTAAACTCAAGCTTTTATTCTAGGAGTTCTACAAATGTTCCTGAAATTCTTTTAAAAATATTACTATATTTGGCCAGGCCTTGGGAGTCAAGCTTATCCAAATGCACAGAACAGCCAGCTGGCGTGTGGATTCCCTACTAGTCCCAGTATTCTTTGTAAACAACACACACTTTGTGTGTGTGTGTGTGTACACACATGGCCTCACAATTAGCTCCAAAGAAAGAGTCCATGAAACGTTTAACCTCCAGGGGTACTAATTATCTGCTGTAGGTAACCAGGTGCAGTTTGCAACCTCCCAGTGCATTAAACACTCAACAAGGGGGAACACAGGTGTGCAATTTTAACCCTCCTTCCAGATCACCATACATCTCTATGTTCTTATCCCCTTCGCCTCCTGGAATATTCTGTCTCAGGTCACCTTTCGATACTTCACTGAGTTCTCTTAGATGCAGTGTCACTCCACACAGCCCAGCTAGTAAGCAGTTAAGGGCCACTTAACTGGCCCAGGTCGAAGCATACAAAGCTCAGTCTTCTCATCTGTAAAACAGGATCATTCTAAGGCCTTCTTCTAAAATGGTGTAGTCCGGATTAAATACTTGATAATGATTGCAGAGTCCGTAAAGCACCGAGCTTGGTATACAGTAAGTGGTCAATAAATGGGAGCCACGGGAGAAATACCTCCGTCTCCAGAGGGGCCCGGGGCCCCTTCTGGGCCTGTAAACGCAGAACTGAACCATCCTGCACTACTCTAAGGAATCGCCCAAGTTGTTCTTGGGGTTTTGAAAAGGGACTCATAGCGCCAGCCCGGGGTCTCTGCACAGCCTCTCTGGACTTTAAGAGGGGGGCGCCCTAGCAGCCAATCTCTCCTAATTGCAGCCGATGTTTGAAAGAGGGCATCTGCTTCTTTTTTTTCTTTTTTACATATTAGTTTTCTGCTAATGATCTTTGCAAATAATGTTGGTTTTGGGGGGGGAGCTGAAAAATAAATTTGAAAACAACTGCTCAATCTAGAAATCAGAGAAGTGATTTATATGTGATAGAGCACCATTTATATGCCATCTGGAAATAATAAAACTGCCCGTTTTTGCCTTCCCACCACCTAACCACTTATGAACCAGACCTAATTCAAGACCTTCAAATTTTTCCAGTATCCGGTTATATTTGCAAAGCAATTAAAACAGCGGCTGAGATGACACAATGGTGCAGAACAATGATAATACATATGAGGACTCTGCTAATTCACCCATTATAAAGAATAATCCATCATAATGACCCTCCCCTCGATGTGAGAAGCCTCTCGGTGAAACCCGCAACATGGCTAATTCACTGCAGCCCAAGCTTCCAATCTTGCACCAGATCTCACTGACTCAGAATTTACTTTCTGTATGGCCCCCAAACCCACCTCCAAAGCTACTGCCAGCAAGTCTTCACTCTTCTTGCTGTGACTTCCTGGAAAGGTCTTCTCCCGCTTGTCTCCATCTCTGTGAAGATCATATCCACCGTTGAAGGCCTACACTACCTTATTCCTCTTCCAGGAAGCAGTTCCTGATACCTGAACAGAGGCACTTTCTCTCTGTTCATAGCATTCCAGGCTTTATCGTGACATTATTTGTTTGTTGCTCCTATTAGCCTGAGTGAAGCAGAACATTCTGATCACTGCCTTGACAATTAATGAATTTTCTAATTGTGTTGGTATTTGCCTACATGTGGTCTTTAGCCCTAGTGTGTTCACATCAAATGTCACAGAAGGACAGGCATTTAAAACGTAGGGACGTTTACAGTATCAGTCAAAGTGAACGGCAGTCCAAACATGCTATTGGTTTCACTGTGTCTTTATTAAAAATCACTTAGCAGTCAGGACGCATGAGAATTTCATTTTAAGGATGTTTACTTTTCCAGTTACTAAATGTACCAGGATGGTTTTTACTAAAACATAAGTCAGCCAGCTGTTTGTTTGGGTTCTTGAATTGAATGGTAAAATAAAAAAAAAAAAAAAATAGTCAGTTTTCACTCAAAGTACTCCACTTTTTAAACAAGGGAATCTGTTCCACATTTCAACGATTTAATTTTCTTTCAAAAAAAAGAGTTGAAATGTTTCATATAATAAGGACATCGCGTCTTCAGAACTTCAGACGGCATATGGTTGTCCCTGGCCCATCCGATCCCCGGGGGAAGCTGAAGCACTTCGGAGACCCGAGAGAGTGTGAATCTGACGTGACAGCTGAAGCTGCGGGGGCTGCCAGAGGCTTCGGGACAGGTATCTGCGAGGGAGGAGGATCAGCCTGGAATCCAGGCTTCCCCCCCATCTCTGCAAACGGCAAACTACCTTCCCGGTGCCCGGTGCCCGGGAGACCACAGCATCAGCGGCCCGAAGGACGGGACCGCCGGGACCCAGAGCCCCGCCACCTGCCCGCCCCTCTGGAGCCCACCGTCGGCTCCTGCTGGCTCTGGAGGCCGCCTGCCTCTCCCCACACCGGCGCCTGTCCGAGCCCAGCTCCGGGCCTGGCGGTCCCCCCGCGCCCCTTCTCTCCTCCGAACACGCGCGGACCGCGCCGGCTCTGGGCGCCGCGCAAGCCGGCCAGCAGACGGCCGTGAGCGGCCGGCCGGCCGCGGACCCGGTCAGCGCGGACCGCGGTTTGCAGCCGCTGGCCTGAAGTTCCTTCCAAGCAGAACCCAACACCGGGGAATCCCCCGAGCTTTCTATTAACAAGCGGGACGAGGGGAGCCGAGCTAGATTAGAGAGATTACTGTCCAAACCATTTTCTCAGAGAAAGGAAGGGAGGCTGTCCAACCACACAGGTGAGACTTCCGACCGGAATTAGCAGTTTGTAACTAGGAGAGCCGGCCCTCTTCGGACACTGATGACGGCAGTCTTCACACTCCACCTTGGCCGTGATGCAAATCCACTTGGCGTGACCCCTCATGGGGTCAGCCACCCTCAGCTTGCCGAGGGTTGCCTTCTCTGCCCGCAAGGGAACGCCGGGGCCCTAGGGAAGGTTCGTCCAGACTCCTCGGCTGACTTCCGAAGCGGATGTCAGGCATGCCACCAATTCAAGTGTTTCCTAAAAGGAAATTCGGGTTGCCAAATACCCAGAGTTCAGAGTCACTATGGCGAAGACTACTACGCCTGTCTGCTGGCTTGGCAGTGTTCAGAAGGCAAGTCTTCGGCTTTGAAGAGAGGGACTGGGGAGAGAAAAGCCACAAACACTCTCTTTCCGCCAGTGACAGTCCCACACTAAGGGTCGGCAGGTGGGATGGGGAGGGAGGCCGTTCTAATACCATATTGGGATCAATGGAGTCTTCCCGTAAGTTTCTGTAGCCTTTCTGTTGGTGTAAATATAGAGACACTCTCTTTATTAAAAAATAAAATGAACTGACTGTAAATATTTTTATTAATGAACTAACTGTAAGTATTTTTATATTTGCCCAATTGGTTTATATTTTTTTTCCAAGGAGTTAACTTTCAGAAAACTAACCTGAAGTTACAGTTGGGAAGCTTTTAGTAAAATGATTACAGCCATAAAAAATTACCTGAGATTTCAGTTAGATGTCTGAGGCAAGAAATTCATAGTTGTTGGCTGTAACCAATTACAATGCTCATCATCCCATTCAAATGAATAAGGAGACTTCACTGTGCTTAAAGACTTAACTATACATGCCATTCACATTTTATAATATTTCTATAAGGACAGTCAAATGATCTGAAAAGTTCAACAGGAGAGAAACTGAAGACAATTTGCAACCGTCCAAACGTTAAAATTCGAGTTTATGGCAACCTAGTAATAAAAGGCGGTTCACTGTTGTCTATATTTTAGACATGTCAAATACACTGACATAATTTGGCATTTCGCAAAGAGAATGAAGAGAATTCAAAATACTCCTCCTCAAAATATATGAGGTAAAAGGTTAGGTATATCAGGATAGGCTTGTTCCATCATGTTTGTTTAAATTCATCAAATGCACTGAAATATGTTCAGCTCTAATCTTTACTACATTACTTACCATATTAATAAAAGCTAAATAATTAAAATGCAACTCAATCCAATCATTTCAACATCTTAAGGAATTACTGGATTGCTATACACTCAATTTGATCAATCAACATGCTCTCATGGAAAGAAAATACTGACTCAGCCTAGCTGAAATGAAGCCTCTAGCTGATATGTTTAAACTGATACATGAGTTGTAAGGAATTATTTTTCTTAATAATACAGGGTGTCAATAAGTAAGTCATCAAAATTTAAACTTCCTGACTACTCTATCACCAAGAAAGGACGCCTAGAACACGGGAGAGATTGGAACCATTAATCATTCATCAGACACTCAGTCCAGGTAACCGAAAACTACAAATTTTAAAACTTGAAATAAACTCATAGCAAGCTCGTTCCCTTGACAAATCTTAACTTTCAATTTAGCAGGACCAAAGAAACCCACTTCTGAATGACACAATACAAACGTAACAAAAATCAGACTGATATTCTGGTGAGCATAGCAATTCCAAATATTGAAACACTGAACTTGGAAGAGAAATCAGTTATGCGGAGTCATCAGGGCTCTCTCAAATAATTTTGCTATTGCTAGTATTAACGTCACTATTTTATTGCTACTGGCCAAGTGCTGCCCTTGGTTGTCATGAAATCTCTGGGGACAGCACATAAGGATCATCAACAACTTCCCTTATGAATTACACTTCGGGGAGGAGCTTAAATGAGGTTTATATCATCAGGAGAAAACTGTCATAAAATAATCATATATGATTGCTATTCTAAAACAAGTAACAGGAACACTTACTATTCTCCTGACTAACTATAAACATATGAAGTAAAACCTGCTTTGAGTCACCACCAGACAATTCTAGAGGAGAGTGGCCCTTTGACAGTAATGTGTTAGAGAAACTCAGGTTTCAGAGCATTACAATATGTGTGCCTTGACAAATTCTGTTTCCTTTCCTAGCTAGATGTTGTTATGATCTATTTATGCTCCTAACATCAATGCGTGTATAATTAGCATGCACTAGGTTTAAAAGCAGTCGATAACAGGAGATTTTTAAGCACAGAGGCGTCAAGAGGCTCATTCCTGTTCTTCTGGCAGTAGCAGGCAGAAGAATCCAAGGATCCCAGAGACAACCACACTGCCCACAAGGAACAGCCCCAGACAGGAATTGATTTGTTCCAACAAGCTCCTCATTGGAAATACAAGCATTCTCCAAAAGGGTGTCGGTATTCATTAAATTCTCCTTTGAGACGGAGATACCTCATTGTACCTGTGAAGTCCAAAGCAGAATATTAGGGTTTCAGAAGTCAAAGAGGGAACAATATAGCAGAGATAAGCTGGGAGCAGCAACTTTACAAAGCAGATCCAGAATTCCTTTCTGGAAGAAGGCCCCAGCCAACTGGCCTCTCAGGTGTCACTCTTCACACTTTATTACTCTCGGAGAAACTACAAGATAAACCTAAACTGTGAATTCCTTCAAGGGGAAATCTGATGTAAATGAATAACTCATATCTAGCAGGGATGATACATATTACAAAATAAGATGACTTGATTTTTTTAAAGGTCAAATCTTCCATGATGATTTGACAATAAATTATTTGTTAGAATACATATCTATGCAACTTAAAAGAACATATGGAGTTACAGAGTTGCATCAATGCAAACAGAGTTTACCCCCTCAATCTCTCTTCTAATTTTTATAACCCTTTTTAAAGTCCTACTGTATTTTCCTTCAAATTTTCACAGATCTGGGGGAGATAATTTTCTCACACCCATTTATTTTGTTAGGGTGAAGAAACTGAGGTTCAAATTCATCACTATGAAAGGAATGGCACATTTAGACTCAGGGCTGAAATTTAACTAGATCTGAAATGTAACTAAAATGTTAACAAAGACAATTGAAAATCTGATCGGTTATAGGATTTTTAACATCTTCCTCTCTGAGCCTTGCCTAGTCAACACGTAAACCCACTTGAAGTTTTATACAAAACAGCTGCCATTATAAAACTCAAAACAAAAAGGTACATGAATTCAGTGCTTTTACTTTATACCATCAAGGCAGTCTGTAAATATACAAATTATCAATGCGTCAAAGAATTGGTTACAACCTATTAATCTGAGAAGTCACTGTTAATAGTCTGGAGTTAAACAAACACTGTTTGGTGAATGAGGACAAATCACCGTTAACAGCCAAGAGTTAAATAAAAGCTATTCAATGTATTTACTTTCCCTTTTTTAAAAAATGGAGGGGCAAAGCCATAATGAGGACTACAAAGCATCTTTTGCTTTATCTAAACATGGCAACGACCACAAATCTTAGGTGTGTCAACTCCATTTTGAACAAAGCCATTCCTTTAGAGATATGCAAATGACTTCATTAACCAATGAAGATATCCTATTTCTAAATTTAATAATCTTCTAAGCATATGTCTCTTTTAGGACACCCTTAGGTTCACACAAAGTCACGGAAGATTCTCAAATTTCTTTGTCTATGAGACTCATAAGACTGGGAACACTGAAGTGGATGTCACCCTAAAGTCATTGTATCAGATGTTTATTTACACCCTAATGAGCGTAAACATTAATCTACAAAAAACCAAGCAAAAGAGACACGTCTTGATTTACTACTCTTAATAATATTCATAGTTCTTACAAAAGTTACACAATAATTAAGTCCATTTTTGCCAAGGATTTGAAAATGAAAAGATTTCCTTCTGCTTGATAATTAACTATGAAAAGGCATCAGCAAAATTTTTATTAAAAAAATAAAAGCCTTCTCTTCTTTTGGCTTATTTCCATACAAATACAGCTGATCTAAAGACAAACAGTTTCACCTTTCTTTTAATAATCATTGCATAGAGGTATATCAGTTAAGTCAGTCTACTTATGCTTTCAAAGACTTTCAAGTTCACTTAGGAGAGTGGGAATATTGTATTTATACACCCAAAGAGGGAGTGACAATAAATAAGCAGGCAGGGTAATCTGAATTTAATTAGTTTCACCCTTTATTTGTGAAAACAAGCATCACACAATTGTTTTGCAAAAGCAAATGATATACAGGCTGTGAAAAAAATACAAGCATATTTATACCACTGAGACTCTATAGAAACAAAGATTTCCCACTAAGGACACTAAAATTATGGCATTTTAGAGCAGATAGGTATTTTCCCCAAATCTCCATAGACGTGTAGACTCCTAACGTCACCCACAAGAAACCCTGTCAGAGGAAGCACAAAAGTTGTTAGTCATCTTCTGGGCTGAATATAAAATGCACATTTGGGGTTCATTTAACCATATGGATTTCACTTGGAAAGTCTTAAAAATCAGTTTCTGAGGTGTAATTCTGGCACTGCCACAGAAACTCTCTCTGAGGAGGGTTTGCAAATATATTGAGACATTTATGACAGGATCCTCCTTAAACTTTTTGGACCAGGACAATTTTTTCACTCCAGAAGATTTGTCTATAGGGAGCAAGACTTCCATCAAAATCCCTGGCCTGTTACTTTTGTTAGTGGTGCATTTTAACGATGCATAAACCTCAGTGTAAAAATCTATTTTGTTTGTTTGAGACGTGGGGGTAAAGTTGCAAGAAATAAAGACTACCATCAGGTCTTCAGACAAATAACTTGCACTCTTGCAAATACTAAGCCACTTAAGAAATTGTAGAGCCACACAGAAAGTTCAGGGCAAGACCAACCAGGAGCCCTTGATGAGGAACCAGAAGTAATCTCTCTCCCTGCTGATTTATCTAGAAGCTGGCTGCTCAGACTGTGGTTCCTGGGTCAGCAGAATCAGTATCACCAAAGAGGTCACTACAGATGCAGACAGGCCCCACCCCAGATCTACTGAATTAAATTCTGTATTTCAAGAAAATTCTCAGAGGATCTGCGTGCACATCAGAGTGTGAAAAGCAGTGATCTAGAAACTGGACGCTGACTGAGGCTGGACGGATGCTGCTTCTGTACTGTTTACTGCACTATGTCCAGCACCAAGAGCTACACCCGGCCCACAGCGGACACCCAATAGATGTTTGCTGAGTAAATCCAGCGCTTAAGATCACACATGTGAAGAGAACAGCATCTTCCACTCTGCACTGGGATCATGGGCATACAGTTCTTAAATGGACACAAAACTGCAGGTCCCTTAAAGGCACAGATGCTGCCTTCGCCACCTCTCAGTTCACTGTGTGCCTCCCACTGTCCACACGGGTCCCTCCACCTTTCACCAGTTGCAACCTTTAGATGTTCAGTACGGAAATATGCTACTACCGTTAGACACTGATCTTTACAATGTTCCTTTAATGTGAACACTTCAGAAAACTCAGTTTAAATCAACATATCATTTCTGAATTTACCCATTTGGCTCTGGTTTTAAATACAGTAAGGAGAACTCACCCAAGAAATCAAAGTAGTAATGGAAAATATTATTTATGGCCAAGTCCTGAGTCTATGTGGTACCACAGAACAGGAATGGCATGGATGATTGAAATTCAAAACTGATTCCAAACCTCAAGTTATTCAATAGCCTCAAAGTCTCTTCTTACCAAATCTCACACCAGAGCTACTCTACATCTCAGAAACATCATTTTTTTTTTTTTTAATTTTCTTTCCCAAATCCACCTACTGAAGAGTGAAATGGCCAAAGCCATCAAACGAGAAATACAGGAATGGAAAGATATACATAATAAACAAAGCAATCAGTCTTCAAACAACCAGATACCAACACCAAACTCTAGAACTAAGAAATAACATTGTGTGAAAGAGATAGTCATACAGTAAATAACGAGCACAGATGTGTGGATAACAGGCCCATTCCAAAATGATCCTCAAAATAAGGAGATATTCAGAGTGATAGGTATTGCTGACTCTCCTAGCTCAGATTTTAAAGGACAAATAGTAAAGTGGGAGCCCACTTCTCAATAAAGAATTACTTTGTTTCTATTAATTAACTGAATTAGACTGTCTTTATTTTTTTTTTTTGCTTCAGGGATCCAGTTTTAGGTTAAGCCATCAGGTGTGTCTGACCCCATGTGTATATACTCACACAGAATATCCTGTAGACACACACACTCTCTCTCTAGTGTGTTGTTTTCCCCAGAGTATAGGTGACAATGGTGATAGCAGAGTGTGTAATGAGTTTCCATTGTTCCCCTGACAGCTAGAGTTCCACACAAGACCCTTTTCTTTTTAGGTTGTAAATGCTATGGAAAAAAATACACTAGTCACAGGCATTTAATTATGGGTCCAGCAACCATAGTGGGAACACCAGTAGAAGAGGCTAGGAACTCGGAGACAGCAAACACATAGATTTCCACGGGAGGGGAGAATTTGGTTCTCCAATTACAGTAATGCTTAAAATATTGATGACAGGCATATGATTAAAAGAAGAAATTTTTAATTTTTCCCCCCGAGTCTCTATCGAGGATAAAGTATGTATACAATGCTACATCAATACTAAAACCAAGAATACTATTATATCCATACTAAAATATTTATTAGAATAAAGACATTGCTTATTAATAAGCAAACTGCATGAAGAGGAGCTTCCTGTCTTGATACTGTCAGTGAAGAAGTACAATGATTCAGTTTCAATTTTGGTTTTCACATGCATGTAACAAAATGAACACTTGTGATATCAAGTCTCTGGGTGCTGCGTCCCCTGAGGCTTCCTTCAATTTGCTTTATACAGTGTTTAAAACCAGGCATCCCTTTCGTTGCTGTCGTGGCAGACACCAGCTCCGTCACTGAGGTCCTTTCTCGCCTGATTAATTAGTAATTGGGAGACGCATTTTGGCAGCTTTCACTTCCCTATTATTTTCTCTGGTTTGACACAAAACCCTGTCAGGAGCCCCACTATCTGAACTGTACCCCTTTTACTGCCGGGTCACTAGATTTTAATAAACAGAGCCCCTGCCAGAGAAGTACTGAAATAGGCATGAAAGTTTCCTGAAGCAGTAACAGTAAACAAATATATGAAGAAAGTTCTGAATGCCACAGTCTCTGAAACATTAATGGTCTGTCTGAACCCAGGGGTTGGGGCGAGACTGCAGACCAGAGGCTACAAGAGGCCTGCAACAAAATCACTGCTTTCACCTGCCTTAGAAAAAAGTCAAAAAATACACACTAGCTAAATAAATCAGACAAACACCTGGTGCGGCAGAGCCGTCCATCCGCGCCTCCTCCGTTATCCCAGTCCGATGAATAAATGTATCGGGAGGAAAAGACTGGTGCAGACCGCGGGGACACAGGGCCCTTCCGGGAGTCACAGAAGCGCAGTCTAAGCCACACAACGGAACGTGGTTCACAGAAGCTAAGGTGAGGAAGTTAAAACTGAAGCCAGCAGGCCGAGACCTGGGAGAGCTGCAAACAGCTACAGAATCACTTTCAGGTTCTCCATCACAAGTGTCAGTCGCGTCAAAAGAGGGCTGCTGGGCGGTGGGACGCTGGCGGGGACACTTGTGCGCCGGGGCAGTGGCCGTGCTGTGGGGGTCAGAGGTCACCGCGTCCGCATGCCGACATCTGTCTGGATTTTCCGGCCCCAAAACAACAGCAGGGGAACCAGGCTCATTTGCCCCCACTTTGTTTAACCTAATTGTTGAACACAAAAGATACCTTCCCCATATCTAGAATTATTTTTCCTTTCCTCCCTAATCCCCATTTGACTCCCTAAAATGAAATACTATTACAGAAAACCTCACCGAAAGGTCAAGTCCCCTATCTATTATTAAAGTTGGGGGAATGTGACAAAGCCATATTTTCCGCTGGCACCTGGGTACCACAGAACTTCATATCACGCCCACCACCATCAACATCTAGACAGCGATCAGCACTGCAATTATCCCACCAAAATAAGCCCCCACTGCCTCAAAACCGCAAAATGGCATTTTTAATAGAAGATACTTCCATTTACTTTTATAACATGTGCTTTCATAGTTCAGAGGCAAGAGCTAATTGTTAATTACAGTTTCTACATACATAAATAAATCACTAATAAAACCAGAATGGACATTCTGACACCTTAGAGGCAGGGAGGAAAAACAAAAGTAATTTGCTAGTTCATTTCAAACAAAAAGGCCACTTTGAACAACTTGGCTATTTTAGCCTTCTCCGTGAGCCAAAGAACAACAGATGATGGACAATGGAGGAACAAAAGCTGTTAACTCATACCTGGACTTTAACGAGGAGTCCATGAGACGCATGTCTTATCCCAAAACATGGGCTTTCTGTGTCGCCCTCACAGTGCCTCTGCAACCACCAAAAATCCTACTTCAAATGAACTAAAACAATCTGTGACATCAGCAGTATTCAATCTGTGCCCAGTTTAATCAGACTGACTGAGGAGGCAGGTTACTTTGAAATTATTCTTAAGAATTTCTGTTTTTGCTGCAGTGCATGGGACTAATGTTCCCAGACATCATCAAACAGATGCAGTAGCAAGAAGCGTAGTATAAATTTTTGGTAAAGTTTACTAGGCCACATGTTCCTCCAAATGCATCCAGAAATTTAAAACATGGTGGAAATACAACAGTCTCAATTTAGTACTCACTTTTTTTTTAATAACAAATAAGAATTTACTTCCAAAATAATTGTCTGTAAGAACCCACAGGAACGGTTTAGTAATGAGACTATGAAAGCCTATATTGCAGGGAGCAGAAAGGCTCTGGTTTCGTATAATGCTTCTTAAAGCACCCCAAATGCTTCTTTTTGGAGGTACCTACATTTTTATCAGTACCACTTACTACAGAAAGACTCTTAGGACCGCTGAGCAATTTGGAGAAAAAAATATATATATCAACCAACAAATTTAAAAGACTCCTTAGTACAGTAAGAAAAAGGACATCAGGATTGGGGGGGGGCGGAGTAATAGGAGATATTAATATATGACTGAGAAATTGTAAGTTTCAAGAGGAAAATACATACATAAAGATGGTACAGCCCATACTTAACATGAAAATACAATATGTCTGGGTTTAAGATATATCACTGCAAAGTTAAAATATCCATTTTTGACAACTAAATTCGAGAAGATAGCATTTTTAGTGAGCTCAGAGATAAGACAGAGCTTTCAATGGAGGTCCCCGCTCAGGATGACTATAAAGTGGTTTAGCCCTTTTCTATCGTCCATATTCATTTCCGGACCATTTTCATGAAAGAAATAAAATCAGTCTTAAAACAAGATGGCTGCTTCTGGGGGAAAGAAAAGAAACGCTGATTCAACTGAAAGCCTAGCTTTTCTAAATCGAGAACCAAGAACTTCGGTATATGTTTTCTCTCATCTCCAAGCATATATTCATGCACTTCCACGTGGAAACTTAGGGATTAGGCTGGGCAGTGACTGAGAAGTATTAATAGCAAAGCCATTTTTTTAAAAAAGGTCTGCTGTTAGTGTGCTAATAATCTGATGGTCCAACGCATATACACAGAGCTACTGCAAAACCCAAATTCCCAGCCATCCTTTACACAGAACCGCGGTCACCAGTTCTGAGAATCAGGTCACTTGACAAGTGGTAACAGGAATAATATCGGTCTCTTACATCTTTTACAGAACTCCATCAGAAAATGCCTGGTGATACCCTGTCGCAAACAAATCAGCTGAATTTGGCTTTTTCAAGTTAATACCCTAGGAGCTAAGCTGTGAGATAACCTCTCTGGGAACTGCACTTTGATGACCTTCCCTGAAGCAAATGGCAGATTAATTCTATGACATATATGTAAAAGCTGAAAACATTTCCCCTCCATTTTGAAATAATTTTAAATAGATTTTTTTTCTTTTTAAATCACTCAAAACTATTTTTATTTCTCACTTGAGGGGAAAATAAGGCCTGACAGTAACATTTTATTCAACCTGTCAACTGTCAATTGCATGAAGGATGTTTCTCAAGATGACAAAGGTTTATTTTTCCTTATTGAAAATGATAGAATTCTACCTGAATGAAAGCTGAGCTAACCTTCACTGTGGTACACTACAGTCTCTCAGCAACTGGCTAACTCAAGGAGAAGTTTTCACTGTTTTAAAATAATGGTTTTATTGAAATCTGTGACTCCCTGTTTGAATACCATATTCAAAAACCTCAAAATCAGGTTTCCATCTACATGGATTTCAGATTAGAAAATAGTATAGAGATTCCAGTAGTTCACAATAAATCCCTCCAAGTACAATCAGGAGTATAGATTATCAAGAACAGTAAAATATAAGGAGCTTTTTTATTTATGCTGAAAACTAGGCATAATAGTTGTAATACAGAAAACCCCGCAGCATTACTTCTTAATTTTGAACTGAGTGCTTCTATGTCATTATGCTGCCTTGTTTATTACTGACAGCTTTGCAAACATGAATGCAGGCAAATTTCAGGGGAAACCGATCTCCTGGTAGTGAGTAATATTCCATTCAGAAACACTGGAAGTTCAAATTAATCACAGGAAACTTTTCTACCAAACAGCTTGGGGTCTAGGCTGAGAAGCAGATGAAAATATAAATTTAATAATATAAATCAGGCCCTTAAAAGAGACAGCAATTTATTGATGTTTAGCTGTCTAAGACCACCATCATAAGACAGATTACTGAAGTGAATATTAATGTCTCATTTCTCATACTCCTCTTTGAGGTTTTACACTTGAATATGAAGGTGTTATCCGTCACAAATGATCAGAAGGCAATTTTTTCTCGGTTTGGAAGACTAGACCTGACTGAGCACCCTGCTAGGAGGCCAGGCCTTCCTCACTGTACTGATGACACAAACGTTTCCTCTTCAACACGGACATTCTAATCAGAGCTGCCATTTTAACAGTTTGCATACTGTTTCTGAAAAGAAAATGGATTATATGGCCTCAGTGAACGTAAGAGGGATTCATTATCTAAAATAAAACATCACAGCTTTTTAAGTTCTCATTACTGCCTTAAGTTATTCAAAACCAACACACACAAAGAAAATGAAGAGGGCTATGGCGCATCTTTTTAAAAAAATTATTAATCAAATTATTTATTTTGGACAAAAAAAACCAACATTAAACAATGAACCAAATGCTCACATGAAATTCTCTTCTTAACATCTTCCTATGTTTTGTTCATTTTCCATTTTAATGTTTTCTCTTTCTCAAAGGTACACTCTTTGGGCACGTACTTCTAAGCTTGCAAAGGCCAGGACTCCTGAAAGACTAATTGTATTCATTCATTTCCTTGGCCCAGCATGAAGCTGGTAGCTTGCTTGGTTCATAGCAACAGGGGAGAGAAAGGAGATGCTCATCTTTATCTGTCCCATCCCACAGGAAATCAGGCCAGTGGACAGAGGGCATCTCACAAGATTAAATGGCAAGAAACTCACAAGGTTCATTTGCCCCCAGATAACTAAACGTTCCCTCCAAATGTGATCCTCAGCCTTCAAATGGGGAGGCCTCTACAACTCTTGATTATCAACCAGAACACACATGGCAACGAGATGCTTTGGTGAGCCAATGGCTTAGCTCGCACTGCTGAAATCAACTAACAGGGAGTAATGACTCACTGAAGACTCTCTCTGATTCTCTTCATCATGGAGTATATTGATCTCAGCCTCACACTGGAAACGCCAAGCTAGACTGTACATCAGGTGTGCCTCAAACAGCACTGATGCTCCAGTCTCTTAAGGAAAGGACAGTTGACTGTTTCTGATGGTTTGCTACGAATACAGAACATAATGCATAAAATCAGTGGGACCCAACATCCCAAAGGCCTATTTTGCTTTCAAAATTCTCTGGAACACTGGCCCAAAATAAGCAGCACGCTTTTCTTCGACAAAATTCTAGATAAAGAAAGGGTAAGAGGGGGAAAAGTCACTTCACGTTTCCTACAAACGGATAAGGGTGAAAAGACAGCATATAAATTTCCATCACACAGGCTTTATTTTTAAAGCAGATGGTTATAAAACTCTGATATAAACACCAAAATAACAAAGTTACCCCACTGTATCTAATAAAATGTTACACTGAGGTTCAGAGTTAATAAAGTTAAAAGACTCTTAAGTAATGTCTTTTACTGGAAGAACTTTTGTTTTTAATATATGAAATACTAGTTAAAAGATTTAAAATTCTAAAACTAAAGTTATCGAGGTTGGCGACAGGCTCTTTCAAAGCCAAGATCAACTTTCCATATTTCCTCAAAACAGATTCTTAGATTTAGACCATACTGATACTTGTTTGTCAGTGAAAAAGGCACAGTATTGGTATAATGGAATATATATATGACACTGACAGCTCGGACTTTTTAAAATGAAACAAGTGAATTCTGAAAGAGAAAATAATATGCAAGGGCTGTGATTGTTACTACATCCCTCAGCTTAGTCACAAACATACTGCCTAAAAGATTCTGGAGTGTTGATCTAGAATTCCTATCACTTTCACAGCTCAAGATTACATGTTAGCAAAACTAAATGGTGTCAATTACCTGCTACTCTAACATGAAATGTTTAATTTGCAAGTCCAAAGAAAACACGCGATTAGGCTGAAATTTATAAAATCCCAGATGAACTACAGAGATATCTTTTCCCATAAGAGAATAACATGTTAAATTGGTGATTCTCAAACCTTAACAGAAGCAAAGAACTAAGTGAAGAGAATCAGTACTTTTGAAGTATGGCTATTTTTCACATTGTATTATTTTACCATTCCATCCATTAGTGCAAGCCAGCAGGAGATAGGTTTAATTATCCCAGCATCATTTTGGTAAATGGTCAAATGAATCCAAGAATTTCTCAGTAGACACGGTTTGAATATTTTCTTTGAAAGCATCAAATTGCTTATAGCATGTTTCAGATTAAGAGGCATATTCTTAACACTGAGCCATCTCTACTGCTAGCGCAGCTACTAAGGGAGAATGTAAAGAAAGTTCTATTGTTGAAAGTCTTTTTAAAAGTTACTTAAGAGCGTTTTATATGATTAAATTAAGGACAAATAGCTATATTTTCCTTGACTTGGTTCTTAATTACTCAAACTCAGTAACAGGCCATTTCACAATAGAGCATAATGTCAAATGGATCTTAATATCACTCTCACTATTTAAGTGAAACTCATACAACTTTGCAAATGTTTAAAATATAAAAGATGCACTTACAAAAATCTTATCATATATTTCTATACAGATTGATAAGTCCCAGTTGCTATTTTAGAGATTTGTAGCAAGTCAACACATAAAATGAGTATTGCCCACCACCCAATAAACACTAGAAATTAAAAAGTTATCAGCATTTTAAAAAGTAAACCTCTATTTCCCAGAAGTGAATACCTGGGAAGACAGATCCTAACAGCAAAACTATCTGACAGCAAATAAATTGTCCATTTTTTTTTTTTCCCTCTGTGAACTTAGATCTATGTATCTACTTGTTACCAAAGTTCTCAATAATGAAACCCAACACAGCACATAAACTCCTATGACTGCACAAGTTACAAATAAGATATTTAAACCTAGTGACCAAGATATAATACTTAACTTTAATTTCATTCTAAACTTAATTTCAAACTGAAGTACATAGGTATAAGCTAAAATACTTCATTTACTTCATTTTGCCATAATATCCAGTTGTTATCATCTCAATGTGCCCACTGAACTTTTCTTCCAGGAGAAAAATGTCTTAAGTCTGTTTAAGTTGCAATTAAAGTTCTCTACTTTTTTCCACAAGACTAAAGTCTTCTGATAATATTATTAATTTAGCAAAATCTTAAAAGACAGGATTTATGTAAAATCAAAAGGCAAGGCTAGCTTACCTTACATAAAAACAATAGATAAAAAGAAAATGTAAAACATTAAAAATTTTAAATTAGTAGACCTCTTCAAATTTTCTATTTTTTCACTCTTTTGTGATAAGCTGTTTATTTCTAAATTACTTATTTTGCATTTGACTCCTTTTAAATTACATCCAAGCTGACTTTTCTTCATTCATCAAAAAAGCACCAACATTTCTAAGATAAATCTGCCTACCGGTACCCAGCTCTAAAATATTACTTTTTAAAGTTTTACTGCGGTAACACATAAAGACAAACAGTCACAAATCCCTAAGAATACTAAAGTTACAGCTGAATCTCTTGGGCGGGCGTACATCATTCTTCCTTTTAAACATTATCAAATTGATAAGGATCAAATAAACAGTATTTCCACAAACTTCAAATTAGAACA